ACCTGAACAAGATGGAAATAAAATTTTCAATCAGATCAGTGGAATTTATTTAAATCGCATGCTGCTGTGGGTCTCCTGACACCCATTTGTGAGCTTCAAGACACAATGTTAAAGGACAACACCAGGGACCCACCAACAATATTCTAAAACTGTAATACTGAGTATAACCAACCAGACAGTCAACACACTTAAATCACTATCAAGCCCAATTCTGAGAACAGCTGTAAACCAGTAAAAGGTCAGAGTGTCATAAGTCATCGTATTAGCCTTCTTTTCTCTTCCACCCCTCATTCTTTTCTTTTTCAAAGGACAGCAAAGCTTCCAGGATAATCCTCTACACACCATACGTGCTCTTCTTCCCAACTCTGAGGTCTAGGATTATAAAATGAAAGCTGAGATCCTCACAGTTCTATCGTTTCATGAGTTAGGACTTCAAGACACCAAGTAAATGCAATAAATGAGAATTGACAATGGCAACACTAACACCTTGCAGATGTCTACAAGCAACGTCTCATGGGTAATTACATGCCAGTCAACTGGTCAAAAAGATTAGCTAAGGAGCTCAAAACACTGCCATTCCCTTTACAGAAATTTTAAAGGCAATCTACTCTGTCTGCATAAAGAAAGCTTTACGCTCCTAGCACACTTACTAATGAGTATGCTTCACACCACCACCATCACTCCTTTTATACTCTTTCCGGGTTTACAGTTTTATTGCTCATAGAGGATGGCATTCTGAAACAACAGGTCACGCATGTATTTTCATTTTCAATTGGAGTTTAACTCTGCAGTGCCACGCCATGGTCATTCATACTTTAATGTACAACAGCTGATTCAAGGGTAAAACTCACGTACGAGAAAAGATTGAACTTCTGTCATTTTGACTCTTCACTGCCTCTACTTTCTGCCTCAGTAAGACAGAAAACATTATTCTTCTCATTTCTTAGCATTCTACTTTTGGGGTGCACTTACTTTGCATAGGACAAAGGAAAAGTGAACAGGATTAACATAATTTGTAAACACTAAAGAGGTCAGTATAGTAACACTGTGGTACATAATCCACAGCAGGAACTATTTGCAGACTTCAAAGGCTAATTGATGTTTTCTTTCCTGACAAAATGACCTAGAGATTCTAGCTTTCCTGGAAGTGCTTCTGCTGCACGTTACCCTGGAGGAACTTGCTCAGTCCTATCCCCTCCCCATACTCTGAGAACTTGCCTCGCAAGAATACTTCTTCAACAAAGCAGTTTTGGAGCTTACAAACTCTATTTTATTAGTCTAAATGGTTTGCCGATGGCCTAAGAGCCTAGATTTTCCCAGGTAGTTAATATGTTGCTTCTCTTCAACCCTCTACAGTAACTATCAGCCAATAGTACAGACCATTCCACATGTCCAAGATTCTTATATCCAAAATTAGATCTGAATCAGCAAGTCTCTACCATGCCTTGAACGTCAACAATGGGCACACAGTAAATAAAAATAATTTATTATAATATACTTGAAAGGAAACATTTTCTGTATATTTAATAGAAGTCACATTTTCTGTAAAAAAACCTCCTTAAATAAACATCTCTATTCAATTACATACACAACGAGAAGTAAGACAAAGAAAGAGTCTAGTTTTCCCTTTGAGAATAAAGGCATTTGGAACGATGCCTATACAAACCTACTCATCTCTTCTCCATTAATTCCACATGATTTTCCCGTAAGCATACCTGGTTTTCTATAACCAATTGTGATTTGCATAAATTCTTCCCAGAAAAGAAACAATTACCTAACCTAATGATTTCTCCATTAACGGACATTTTGGCAACAACAGATGATGGAGAAATCCTTGATTAGTTTCAGGAGAATTCTGACTAGCATAAACAGGCATTTACATCAATAAGAGTCTCAGCGTAAGTTCGCTTTAAACGCAGAACATTCAGTGTGCTGAGGGAATATGACTGATTTAGGTATCCTGAGTAAATTAAGGTGTACCCAAAATGTTTTTTTGCTTTTGCAAGAGATGGACATATACAAAGCCCTGATATCCAAAGATGCTATTCTGAATGGATAAAACTTCTGTTCTGGAGATGCTAATAGCCCCTCACCAACTGCAGCTCTAGGCTCTGTCTCTATCCTACACATTGGCTGAGCCTTAGCCCAAGATCCCAAGCCACAGCCCAGACGAACAAGAGGACAGAATTCTTTTTGCAGCCCCTTCCCAGCCCCACTCCAGCTACAGCTCTAGACTCTGTCTCTCTCCCAAACCTAATCCTAGCCTCAGCCCAATGCATCACCACCAAACTGTACTCCCCCAAAAGTCCAAACCACCATTTTCTCTTGAATTTTAATTCCTTTATCAAGGAACGTTCTTCAAAAGCCAGTTTGACATTACTAACATAGGCATTATCACTAATGCAGCTTTTGCTCATTAAGCCACAAGAATACAAAGAGGAAGTGGCAGTTAACCCCTCAGTCACTGAAACACAGATACTAGTTCTACTCTAACACTTCCTTCGAAATACCACCGTCAACTGAGAACTCGCCTACTAACGTGGTTTCTGTCTCAGCACAATGAGAATGGTTAGACTGAAAAAGGAAAAGGACAAATACTTTTGAAGAGAAGGGATCATAGCTTAGCATTTGAAATGTGGTAGAGATGTACCGCAAAAGGATCGTCTAAGTCCTTGTCTATCTAGCAGTTGAATTAGCAAGAAAACAAGTTTAGGAGTCATGCTTGCAAAAGGGGGCATACTATAGTCCGCACATCCTTAAAACATGATCAAAAAAGATAGGTACTCAGGTATTACAAATCCTAGCCTACTTTTGGATGGGTTGCTTAACTTTTTACAACCTCCATTTTTTCAGCAGTAAAATGGAAATAATAATCCTGACTTTTCGGACGGTAAGGCTATGAAGGTTAATTCATTTAAATTCCATGAAAGTCTTTCGAGCTCCTTGTATGAAAAGTGTTACTTAATTAAACATTGTTATTATTCCAAAGGAGCAACCGTAACAAAAAAATCCTGTTTATTTTATTGCCTATTGCAATTTGCATGTAACTGTCCAACCCCCCAAAAGGAGTGCTTGTCCCTGTTCTGATAAGGACTTGTGCTAGTCAAAGTGTATTATATGAGAAAAGCATACTCTACTCCAACACAAAAACATTTTAACCAGTGAAAAATTAAACAGAAGTTATGACCATCAGGATTTTTAATAGTGTTTTTAAATTACTTAATGTTCTTTTCCTGAGTTTCATGTACATTTTAAACTAGGTTTGTTTCTCTTTATCAGTTAAAAGACATTCTAATCTCTTTTGACATCTTATTTAATGAATTAGAATGGTTCTTAACTCTATTTTTATAGACATAGAAACAGAAACTAATGGAACACATTGCTTTGATTTGTCTGTCTACAAACGAGCCCAAAGTTGGTGTTGCTAGTTCTCAGCCAATACTGCATTGTTCTTTATTTAAATTTCATCTATTCCTAAATAAAAACATAATGAAAAGAAAAAGAAAACACAAAAGAGATGCTGCAGCCTTAAGTAATACCACTTAGAGCAGAATGCAGATGTCCTCTTTTAGCTTTTCAGAGCTTAAGAACTCCAGGGTGCAGTAGCTTACCCTCAGAGCTTTCATGTACTACTGTCTAATTCGATGATGCTTCAGTTGATTATAAATGCCGGGACAAGGAGCCTCATAGATCTGAACGAGCACAACTATTACCGGGTTTTTTCCCTGGGCTGTGGTCACAGTGCAGATCATGGAGGCCAAATGTAATTCACTGAATATCAATCTGACCAAAAAACTGACAGAAACACAACAGGCAAATTCTTGCCCTTGTTGTGATCCCCATCTGGTTGGAGAAAAACTTAAATGCTCCAACTGGTTCTAAAAGCCCAGGACTGATAGAAAATAACTACCCAGAAGACAGCACTGGAGAACAGATTTGTAAGATTACTCTCCCCTGTCTATGGGCTATGTCAAATACAGGACTGAGCAGGAGTGGGCCACATGGTGCTTCAAAGGCTGCAGCGAGGTATGCAACACAAGGAACAATGAGGAATGATTAAAGTAATTTAGATGGCTCACAACAAGAGTCTAAGACAAAACAAGGGGGTCTCCAAACTCTCAACAGCTCAGGATCTCAAAGATTTGACCACAGTAGAAAGCCACAGTGTCCAGAGTCGTACACAAATATTTTTTTTATATAAAGTGCCATATAGTCTTTAAAAAAGCTTCATGCCACCTGCCAGTCAGCAGCACCGAGACTAGAAAGCCCCTCTGCATTGCAATGGCACACCTGCATATTACAAAGTTAGGGAAAGCAAGCCAGTATTACTTTCTGCTGAACTGACATGCTCCTTTCAGATCATTTCCTATACAATTTGAAACAAGTGTTACCCTTGGAGGTGTAAGTAGCGCTAGTAAGCAACCTACTTCCCTCATTCAGAGCATTTCCAGTTCGTTTAAAGAAAGGCTTCTTCCATATAGTACATTCTGACTTACTGAGTAAAGACTAGCTCCTGTTTTTTTCACAGACCTTAAAGAGCAGGATGTAGCACAATGTTAAAGGTATCTGCCTATTGCCAAGCCCCGAAAACCATCTAACATTATATACTCAATGCCAAGTATTGTTTGAAAACAGAAACTTTTAAAATATCAGTTTTCTTAGTCTAAATCAGATACAATATCTTTGTAATAACCTCCTTTTAGATGTACTACACTTCTTTCTCGGGATTCAGAATCGCCACTTATAATCAACCAAAGGAACAAAATTTTTCTATTACTTACATTGATCCGTTTCACAGACGGTAAAAGGATTCATCATCATGATGAATGTCATCAGCCCCTTACCTACACTACTCACTGCCTAAGACCCTCAGCTGTAGCCCAGGGCCCAGTGGTGAAAGGCAAATCCCCAATACCAGTGGCTTGCTTGTCCTAGCAATCCTTTAGGAGACAGTACATAAGCAAAATGAAATTAAAAGTAAAGAAAACTATTTCAACTACCTTGCCATGTAGTTTGTGGACATCGTATCTTATTTGAGCAAATTCCCGGAGTCCAAAAGATCCTCCAACAAGATATAGCTGAAAACCAAAACGAAAACAGACATGTTAGGACTACTACGAAAAAGAACACTTCACATACTGACCCAATTCAGTTAGTGAAGGACCCTACTATTCTTCCAACAGAAGCACCAGGAAATGAAGAAAATAATCAATTGGAAGACATGCATAGAAGAGGGAGTATATGTCAAGTCAGAGCCTTCTTCCACTCTCTGGGTCTGGATTTCACAAATTTCCTCCTTTGTACAAAGACAGCTGCTTCATGACTCACGTTTTCTAGGGACTTCCTCTCCTCTTACCCCTTCTTTCCCTCCCCATACAGCTTCCTGACATAACTGCAGCAAAGGAACCTTTACCTCGCCGCCACAGGGTTTATTCTCATAATTTTCAAACTCTATGGGGAAGTAACAATGCTACATTGACTTACTCTGATGTCTGTGGGTAAGAGATCTAATTAACCTTCTGAACAGACCAGCTGATTGGAGCTGTGGTTCAATGATATGTTATCACATAGGCTAAGAAATCATATCCAGCCCACCTGCACTTTTATTAAGTGCCTCCTTAGTTGTCTTGCAATTCCCTCCACACCTGTGAAGCTTATGAACAAGAATAATAAAGGGAGAAATGGGGGGGGGGAAACCTTCATATCCACGTAAAGAAATTGTTAAATTATTCTTTCTTATGACAGAGGGATATCATAAAACTGTGTATGTATTTTTACCATTAAAAATGGACAGACCAACCAAAAGATCAAGTAATGTTAACAAACACCCTTAAGAACTTGAAAATTAGCTTAGAAATCTAGCTACTCTGTGGAAGAATCAGGCCTCTTGCTCCTGCTCTGATGTGACAGACTCCATCTACTGTTCTCTGTTAAGGCAGATGCACAGGAGGCCAAAAGGCTTCACACATCTAGAGATGCACATCTAAGGAACGTGGAAGCATGAGGAAGCTCTAAGGACCTGAGTGGAAAAAAAAAAACCAACCCCCCCCCTATTTTATCACACCACATTGCTGTTACAGTCCTTCATTACAGGCTGTTGCTGCACTGGTAACTGTTTTCTGCACAATGCTGGCGGATTTCTTGCTACATACTAAGTTTGCAGCAATGGCCTGTGTCCAAGAATTGTTATAATTATGCTGCACAGGTAGTCAAAATGTATGTTCTTTCCAAAAAGTATGCCATCTGAAGTTCAGGTCACTGAGGCCGCAAAGCCATATTCATTCAATTTAAACTAAAAAACAAAACCAAAAACAAACCCCAAACGCCAAAAAAAACCCCTTCTACATTTATTCCTTCTAAAAATTGCAGGACTATGTGATTTCCCATCAAGCAGGTAAAACTACTCACAACCACATGAACGCGCTCCCCACACACACTTAGATGCTGGTATGTTACAGACCAGTACCCAGGAACTAATGTGCTCTGTTCGCAGAACAGGCAACCCTTCACCAATAGCCAAGAGTTAAAGGCTCCACAGTCTCTTTCTGGGCCTGGCCCTTTCGATAAGCCTAAGAATCTAGCTGATAATTAGAAACAAATAGATAATAGAAACAAAATTTTGTGATATGAACATCTAGCTGCTAGGCCACAGAACTCTGACTTCAGAAAGCCAATCAAAAAATCATCATGTGGTAGCAAGTTAACTTTCAGCAACTAGAAATTTGACCTACCAAAAATTGGATGGCACCATACTTGTATCATAACTGTTCAAGGAATTAATGATGCTCTTGCAAATATTGAATCATCAAAATACACAATAGAAAAAAAGGTATTCGTATAAAGGGGGGGGGGGAAGTCTTCCTCATGTGCCAGTATTTTGGTAAGAAAGAATAACAGGAAACAGAAAATATTCAAAATAGTTAAAAAGAACCTGAAAATTATTCAAGATTTATTCAGTCAAAGCAGAAGATTTGTCAGCTGAAGATATGGTAACACATAATGCTGAAAGTCTCAAGGATCAGACTATAATTGAATTGTAATATGGTTGACACCTCAGCATAAGTTTTCATTAGCTGATCTTCTTTAACTCCTAACAAGTATTATGTCAATTAACAGCCAATGAGTTAACTTAACAAACTTCCAGTCCTAACGAACAGAAATCAGAAGCGCTATAGACAAGTATACAGCTGTTACAAATCACACCTTATTGCCTTTGTGTATATTAGCATGTTGTCAAAGAGTGGCTATGGTGGAGCAAAAGCAACTGCACTAGAAATGGTTCAGTACACAGTTGTTAAACTAGGCAGAAAGTAGCACTTACTTGTGACATCAATTAAAAATTAGTTTGCCCAACAACAAACTTGCATGAAGTATATACCGTTGCGAGATGCAATATGAACAAGTGGAAGACCTTTAAGTGGCCTGTTCCTCATAACCCAACTATTATTTAACATAATGAAAATGTACATTGTGGCTTACGAAGCCATGCTCTAAGCTAAAAAAAAAATATTACATTCTTTATCTTTCATCATTCAAAACTATGTAATGTACACTGTAACTAAGCGAAATCAAGAGAAAGTTGTTGCATGAAATAAGTCATGTGCTACTCATTTTGTCTCATCACATGCTATCACTTGTTTGACAGCAACCATTATACAGTGCATTTTACATCTGCAGCTATATGCAGCTATATACATGATAAAGGAGTTGATACACACACACACACCTCTCAGTTCCCTTAGACAGATTTTGGCCTGAGACTGTAATTTTACTCACATCACCTTTACACTACAAAAGGGAAAAAACCACTTGGTTTCTGATGCACTTCTGCTCTTCATACAGCATAAGCAGTATAGCTAGCCTGGCAAGTTGGCACATTTTGCTTATCAGGCATTACCAGTATAGTTGCCTTTACACTTCCAATACTGCAATGGTTGATTCATCTTACGATGAAACATCAATTAGGTTGCGTCTGAGTCAAAGCACATTGATGCTGTAAAAAATTACAAATGCCACTGAAATATTACACAGTGTAATGCTGGAAGGTTAGGATTAAGATTAAATAATTTTCAAAAGCACACAATACACACAAAAATATAAATAATATGTTTACAATGTTACTTAACCAATGTTCTAAAGTACCAAACATGGTGTCTAAGACTTCATTGCAAAACCGGACCAGAATCAGTCATATTCAGCACTTACTTAATCAACTAACAGCGTGTCAATACAGTTAGCTGACAACCCTGAGCATGAATTGCCTTGATCTACACAAACCAGAGCAGCAGTGGACAGCTATTCAGTCAATTAGATTTTTGAAAACTGTGTTCAAAAGCCAACAAAAGAACGTATAAATGAGTTTATGCAACTATAATAGCATTAAAATTAGTAAAGGACTCAGTGACCGACAATGCATTGAGTGGAAATACTAGTATCGGTTTAAGTGTTTCCTTTCTCTTTTTTGCATTATGAGGGAAGATGTCCTCACTACCTTCATTTAAGTTAACTGTATTTAAAGGGAAGAATGCATACGTACAAACCACAATGAAGCATCAAGAGTCACCAGTCAAAATAGTTAGAAGCGGGATAAGACTCAAAAATTCCAGCAACATTATCACCTTGTTGGCTTTGCATATTCTGTATGTCTCACATACATTTCTAGTTTCCCAATTTGTAAAACAGAGATAATGTCTACATTCCTTGCAAAACACTCTTCAGTTAAAAAAGCACTACAATGGATGAATTTGCTCAATGTAAGCCAAGGGCAACAGTGAAGTCCAGTATGTTCCACCCACTAGTCCAGACATAAAAGAGACAGTAGAAGCTATTCAGGATGCCATATAAATAAAACAGTTAGGTTGGCAATATTCTAATGAAGTCAGGCTCAAGTTCACTCTCCAGTTAACTGAAAGGGGAAAAGTAATGCCACATATAACGAAAATTAAAATGTATTTTTCTTCATTCCAATTTTAGGATCATACAGATATTTAACTGACATTATAAAATGTTAAGGCATTGGCATCTGAAGAGTACTCAAGCTGGAAAGTTCAAATATACCTGCATTCTTTCACTGTGAGGGAACTATTCGTTTTATATGCTTCAGAATGTGGAGCAAAAAAAGTTATTATGTAGTGAACATCATCTGTCTAGTTACCCAGATGCATACAGCGGATTGATGAAGTGATAATAACATCTCACTTTTTCCTTTACACCTGAAGTTTACCTTAGGAAGGCAAAAATCATAAAACATACTAGTTAGCCAGCACTTAACACCAAAGCAAACAGCTTAACAGCACCGCTAGCACAACCCCCCATTAAAGATCTCACATTGGATTATTCCTTTATGTTTCAATGAGTACACAAAAAACCCCCTACAATGTTGCAATGCAGTTAAGCATGCACGGAAGACTTGCATGTTGCAAAACAAAATGAAAGACAGGATGTGACATAAGAGCACCATCTGTCACATACACTCAGCAACCTCAATAAATGTTTTATATAAAAAAAATGACACAAAATTCTCTTTAATAACATTCTTTTAAAAATTCTATTTGTTCACCTCGCCATTGGGAAGTATGTTATGCAATCAGTTATGGATGGCATCAGACTGATCCCTTGAACTGCATCTTAGGATGGGAAATATTTGTATTTGTCACCAACACTACAGTGAGATGTTCACTGAGGACTTGTAACAGCAGAACAACTTGGGACTTACCGCAGATCCCTACTTTTTTAGTTTCCTGCATAATCTAAAGCAGCCATCTTCAGTTCCTTGGGTTACAAAATAACAAGAAACTGCTTCTCTGGCAGGACCAGCAATTTGCGTATTACAGGTGTCCCTGTTAAGAGAAAGCCATTCTTGCTATAGTACCAATTGTGAAAGCCACATTACAAAATCACATTTGTCATAAATCCCTAAATTAACCAAATCACAGTATTTAGTGCTGGCAACACAGATTATGCAGTGGTGGAAAATGTTATGATACATAACACTGAAGAAGAAACATGGTAATTTTCTAACCTCTTCTTCAAGACTGCCGCTGCAAAACACTCCAGCTATTCATCAGGAGCTTCGAAA